ATAAAAACCACAACACTCACCTAAGCCCAATAACACCCACTCCTAAATTGAACCTCATAGTACTCCAACCTACGTCATATGCATCTGCAACATGTATAATAAACTTACGCTCTAGACGCTAGCCCATCTAGATGGTCGAATAAATATGAGTGAATTTCGAAGACTTGTAAATAGTTGTTAAAGTTGTTCAGAAGAAAGCTCTCGGGTCTTAACTCAATAAATTCAAACAAATACCATTTATCTTAAGGTTTGATTGCCTTTGTAAAAAATATACAACTGCACACCCAAAACTGTGAGTAGAGAAATTAGTTCTAAATTACTATTCTTTCTTCACTGCTTTTAAATGTAAAATATCAAGAAGGTAGACATAATATAGCTTAACTGGAAAATAAACTCTTGATTTGCAAGAAACGAAGTATGATCAGTGTTCGAAAAAATAAAAACCAAACTAAGCAAATCCGAGATGAGTTTAAACACACCGCAAATAATCAAACTTATGCTGTGAAAATAGAACATGAAAAGTACAACACTCACATTAGCTTTATAATGCCCACTCCTAAATCCAGTTTCACAATGCTCAGAGCTTCATCGTACGCGTCTGCGACCTATATAAACCCAAACACAATCCGAAATGATTTTAAAGGCTCTGCAAAGCAATCAAACTTACGCAATGAAAATAAATTAGACAATAAACGTAACAAACTTTTATATGAAATTGGATATCCGATTCTCCAGATGCTTGTCCATCTAGATTTTTTAATAAATATGAGTAAATTTCCGAGACTAGTAAAGAGTTGTAAAGTTGTTTGGAAGGAGGTTCTCAAAATCATTATACTAACTTTAAGAATTCAATTAACTACCATTCATCTTAAGATTTAATGGGCTTTGGAAAAAGTTGGTAGAGACCAAGCATAACTACCATTATTCTTTCACTATTGCTTTCCAATGTAAAATTTAAAAAAAGGTAGACATCATGCGCAACTAGAAGAAACTCATGATTTGTAAGAAACAAAGTATAATTAGTGATGTTTAGGAGTTTTAACTGAGAACTAAAACAACATGTAACAGATCGGAGTATAGATAACACTTTGGTTGTTCTAGCAACAAACAATACAACATAAAAGAATAAGGACATCAACCTGCAACTAATTACAAAAGTAATTTAACAAAAAGTATTCATTCATTTAACCTTATCGATAGAATAACCCTCCTGATCGTAGTAATACTACCTCACTCCGAAAAAACTTCACTTTATACTTTAGGATTCTGAATATCAACTTTTCTTACATGAATTCTTTTTAGAATTCTTTTTAGAACTATGATCAATTTTAGTTGTTAACAACAAATTCCAAGGATCATATATATATTTTAAACAAACAAACTTATAACTCACAATATCAAAAAAAAAAAACTAATGCTTGCAATAAAGTCTTTCTTCTCAATTACTACAGAATGAGAAGTTAGTTTTAAATTAATATTCTTTCTTCACTGTTTTCAAATGTAAAATTTCAAACTAAGCCAATCCGAGATGAGTTTAAACACACTGCAAATAATCACACTTATAATGTGAAAATAAAACATGAAAAGTACAACACTCACCTTAGCTTTATAATGCCCACTCCCAAATCCAGTTTCACAATGCTCAGAGCTTCATCGTACGCGTCTGCGACCTATATAAAGCCAAACACAAACCGGAATGATTTTAAACGCACCGCAGAAACTTCCGCAATGAAAATAAATAAACGGAAGATCCGAAATGATTTTAAATGAAGTCATAACATGGTATAACATTTGTTAATACCCACCACTCTATTTTTAAACAGAAATATAATGACAAGAGGCGCCTAAAGAGAACAAAGGAATAACATATATATATACACCTGCATTTATCATGTAACATCTCTCAAGCATCCAGCTTTTCCTCATCCAAGAGTGTGCTCTTGATTGCCTTCTCACGATGGGCAAATCTCGGGTTACTAAAAGTCCAAAGCTTAACAACTACAATGCCCATATAAAATTTTCCCATGTTGAGAAGGAATTGAAAAAGAGTAACACAATAACAAGGGAAAAAACATTAACAGGGTTCAGTTTCACGGTGAGACTTTTACCTTTAAAGCAGAGAAATAGTCCAGATCATTGTTAGTTTTGCAACCCTTCTAGTGAGTCCTGCCAAAAAAAGTCAAACTTGAAATGTTGCAAAGAATGTGCCTTAGCTTCCATGATTGTGAACTTCCGCAAAAACTTTTAAGGTCCTGCAGATCAAGAAACAAAAGGTAATAGAAGCACACAACAAGTATGCCTGAAATTACAGCAACCTGTGCATCCACGAATCTACACAAGATGATAAATATAACTTATGTGTCATTAAACAGGACCTGAACTATTGATGATCTAATTCGAAGTGTAATCTAGACAAGCATTTGTAATCATGCAACAAAAAATGCAGATAAAAATGTTCAAAGGAAAGTAAAAAAAATAGAACTGCATTCCACACAAAGCATATGTAATTGAGCAACAAAAAACTGAATCTGTGGCTATTGGTGGGGAAATGAAAGATAAAATAAATAGAAACAACAAAAAACTATAAATTATTTCTGGTGGGAGAAAACTTACAAAACAATTTAGTTGAATAATTTCAAAGCCATGCTTAACGTACTACTTCAGTGCCATGATTGTTGTTTTTTTTTGGCTTTTTTGTTTTCTTTTTTTTTTGGCTTTTTTATTTTCTTTTTTTTATTCGTTTCGTTTTTTTTTAGGTTTTTGTATCCATTTTTTCGTCAAAAACAATTTCTTCGGTACACGCCTTCCCTGTCCTGATTGCAATTTCGAACTCAAGACTTAACATTTCCTTTTCCTTTTCATTTAAAAGATTCAGGCTTCTTTGGCATTCCATCCAGTACAACACTTCTTATTTTGATCTCTCGTATTGGCCTTCATTTGTTCATCCTGTTCAGAAGGAAAATCAAAAGGCAGGAAAGATAAGTGCTAATGTTAGAATAGTAAACACAAGTATGATAAGTTTTTTATTGATACCACTTCAGAATTACATATGCACTTATGAAATGGTCTAACGTATGAGCCTATAATCACGTAAAATCAGTCAAGCTCTCTATCGATATTGAGTATTTGACTAATTATCTAATTGCATTCATGCTCATGTTTGTACTGCTGAATAGGCTGTTAGTGATTGTGACATGAAGATCAAATCATTAGAAAGGAAAAATATATAACTTCCTAAAGTAATCATTTATCTAGAGGAAAAATATATAACTTCCTAAAGGAAAAATATATAACTTCGAAAAATATATAACTTCCTAAAGGAAAAATATATAACTTCAAATACAGGGCCTGAACTATTGATGATCTAATTCGCAGTGTTATCTAGAGAAGCATATGTAATCATGTAACAAAAAGTGCAGATAAAAATGTTCAAAGGGAAGTAAGTAAAAAAAATAGAACTGCATATCACACAAAGCATATGTAATTGAGCAACAAAAAACTGAATCTGTGGCTATTGGTGGTGAAATGAAAGATCAAATAAGTAGAAACAACAAAAAACTATATATTATTTCTGGTGGGAGAAAACTTACAAAACAATTTAGTTGAATAATTTCAAAGCCTTGCTTAACATATTATTTCAGTGCCATCACTCTACAAATAGCTCATTCCAAAACCTTCTCTACTGCCTGAAAACTGAAAAGTAGTGAACGGTTAAAGATATAGAAATATGAAAAATATACTAATGACTTATCTTTAGTTTTACACGATTGATAAACTTACTTTAGGAACAATTGTTTTCGCAGAGCTAGGCTTTCACACCTCATGAACAAAGCAACAGCACTGGGACATGTGTTTTTGTTTTGTTTTTTTTTTCGCCGTTTTTTTTGTATTTGTTTTCTTTTTTTGTTTTTTTTTCTTTTTGCTTTTTTGTTTTCTATTTTTTTTTCTTTTCTTTTTTTAGGTTTTTGTATCCATATTTTCATCAAAAACAATTTCATCGGTACACGCCTTTCCCTCTCCTGATGGCAATTTCGAACTCAAGATTTAACATTTCCTTTTCCTTTTCATTTAAAAGATTCAAGCTTCTTTGGCATTCCATCCAGTAGAACACTTCTTATTTTGATCTCTCGTATTGGCCTTCATTTGTTCATCCTGTTCAGAAGGAAAATCACAAGGCAGGAAAGATAAGTGCTAACGTAACAATAGTAAATACAAGAATGATATGATTTTTATTGATACCACTTCAGAATAACATATGCACTTATCAAATGGTCTAACGTATGAGCCTATAATCACGTAAAATCATTTAGGGTCCGGTCCCATCAGTTAGCTCTCTATCGAAAATTAGTATTTGACTAATTATCTAATTGCATTCAAGTTCATGTTTGTATAATTTAGTGATTGTGACATGATGATCAAATAATTAGAAAAGAAAAAATATATAACTTCTTGCTTGAGGGAGATGACTTACCGAACAATTTAGTTGCATAATTTCTAAACTATGCTTGGAACGTACTTCTTCTAGTGCCATCACTCCCCATATAACTCCTACCAAAATCTTCTCTACTGCCTGAAAAGCAGTGAACGGTCAAAGATATGCAAAAAAGAAAAAGATATTATTAACCACTTTACAGTTTTCCCATCATTTGACAAACTTACTCTAGGAACTTGAACCTCAGATTTCTAGCAAGACTGTGTCCCATCAAGGGGTACCATCAGCAGGTTCAAGCTATCACCGGCACCAATATGCGCTTACTAAGAATTCTGCTCTTGATCCAAGCTATCACCGGTATTTGTCATGTAACATCTCTCAAGCATCCTGCATTTCTTCATCCAAGAGTGTACTCTTGATTGCCTTCTCACGATGGGCAAATCTCGGGTTACTAAAAGTCCAAATCTTACAACTGCAATGCCCATATAAAATTTTCCCATTTTGAGAAGGAATAGAAAACGAATAATACAATAACAACGGAAAAAACATTAACAGGGTTCAGTTTCACCTTTAAAGCAGAAAAATGGTCCAGATCATTGTCAGTTTTGCAACCCTTCTAGTCACTCTTGCCAAAAAAACGTCAAACTGGAATTTTTGCAATGAATGTGCCTTGGCTTCCATGATTGTGAACTTCCGCAAGAACTTTTAAGGTCCTGCAGAATCAAGAAACAAATCTTAAGAGGCACACAAATCTTTTAAGGTAAAAGAAGCACACAAGTATGCCTGAAATTACAGTAACCTGAGCATCCACAAATCTACACAAAATGATAAATATAGCTTAAGAGGCAGGTGTAAGATGCTTACTGAATTGTCAAACAAATCTATCTTGTATAAAAGGATATGTACATGAAATTCCACCCCATTGGTGAAATTGCATACACGTTTTTCAACACGGAAACCAACTATCAGTTATGACAATATATCAATGTCTCATACTTCATGTAAGATCATAAACAAAAGCACTGATTCAGGTTCCATGTTTCTAGAGTGTCTATGTTTTAATATCTGCTCCTGGAAGACAGTAAGGTATGTGTCATGAAACAGGGCCTGAACTATGGATGATCTAATTCGCTGTGTAATCTAGAGAAGCATATGTAGTCATGCAACAAAAAATGCAGATAAAAATATTCAAAGAGAAGTAAAAAAAATAGAACTGCATATCACACAAAGCTTATGTAATTGAGCAACAAAAAACTGAATCTGTGGCTATTGGTGGTGAAATGAAAGATCAAATAAGTAGAAACAACAAAAAACTATAAATTATTTCTGGTGGGAGAAAACTTACAAAACAATTTAGTTGAATAATTTCAAAGCCTTGCTCACCGTACTACTTCAGTGCCATCATTCTACAAATAGCTCATTCCAGAACCTTCTCTACTGCCTGAAAACTGAAAAGTAGTGAACGGTTAAAGATATACAAATATGAAAAATATACTAATGACTTATCTTTATTTTTCCACGATTGATAAACTTACTTTAGGAACAATTGTTTTCGCAGGGCTAGGCTTTTACACCTCATGAACAAAGCAACAGCACTGGGACATGTGTTTTTGTTTTGTTTTTTTTTCGACTTTTATTTTGTATTTTGTTTTCTTTTTTTTGTTTTCTATTTTTTTTTGTTTTCTATTTTTTTTTTTTGCTTTTTTGTTTTCTATTTTTTTTGTTCTTTTCTTTTTTTAGGTTTTTGTATCCATTTTTTTGTCAAAAACAATTTCATCGGTACACGCCTTCCTTCCCGTAATGGCAATTTCGAACTCAAGATTAGCATTTCGTTTTCCTTTTCATGAAAAAAATTCAGGCTTCATTGGCGTTCCATCCAGTAGAACACTTCTTATTTTGATCTCTCGTATTGGCCTTCATTTGTTTATACTGTTCAGAAGGAAAATCACAAGGCAGGAAAGATAAGTGCTAATGCAAGAATAGTAAACACAAGAATGATAAGTTTTTTATTGATACCACTTCAGAATAACATATGCACTTATAAAATGGTCTAACGTATGAGCCTATAATCACGTAAAATCATTTAGGGTCCCATCAGTCAAGCTCTCTATCAAAATTTAGTACTTGACTAATTATCTAATTCACTAATTGCATTCATGCTCATGTTTGTACTGCTGAATAGGCTGTTAGTGATTGTGAAATGAAGATAAAATAATTAGAAAAGAAAAAATATAACTTCTTGCTTGAGAGGCAGGTGTAAGATGCGTACTGAATTGTCAAACAAATCTATCTTATGAAAAAGGATACGTACATGAAATTCCACCCCATTGGTGAAATTGCATACATGTTTCTCAACACAGAAACCAACTATCAGTTATGACATTTTATCAATGTCTCATACTTTATGTAAGATCATAAACAAAAGCACAGATTCAGGTTCCATGTATCTAGAGTGTCTATGTTTTAATATCTGCTCCTCGAAGACAGTAAGGTATGTGTCATGAAACAGGGCCTGAACTATTTATGATCTAATTCGCAGTGTAATCTAGAGAAGCATATGTAATCATGCAACGAAAAATGCAGATAAAAATGTTCAAAGGGAAGTAAAAAAAAATAGAACTGCATATCACACAAAGCATATGTAACTGAGCAACAAAAAACTGAATCTGTGGCTATTGGTGGTGAAATGAAAGATCAAATAAGTAGAAACAACAAAAAACTACAAATTATTTCTGGTGGGAGAAAACTTACAAAACAATTTAGTTGAATAATTTCAAAGCCTTGCTTAACGTACTACTTCAGTGTCATCACTCTACAAATAGCTCATTCCAGAACATTCTGTACTGCCTGAAAACTGAAAAGTAGTGAACGGTTAGAGATATACTAATATGAAAAATATACTAAAGAGTTATCTTTACTTTTCCACGATTGATAAACTTACTTTAGGCACAATTGTTTTCGCATGGATAGGCTTTCACACCTCATGAACAAAGCAACAGCACTGGGACATCAGTTTTTGTTTTTTTTATTTCGCCTTTTTTTTGTATTTGTTTTCTTTTTTTTTTGGTTTTCTATTTTTTTTTTTGCTTATTTGTTCTCTATTCTTTTTTTTTTGCTTTTCTGTTTTCTTTTTTTTGTTCTTTTCTTTTTTTTAGGTTTTTGTATCCATTTTTTCGTCAAAAACAATTTCATCGGTACACGCCTTCCCTCTCCTAATGGCAATTTCGAACTCAAGATTTAACATTTCGTTTTCCTTTTCATTTAAAAGATTCAGGCTTCATTGGCGTTCCATCCAGTAGAACACTTCTTATTTTGATCTCTCGTATTGGCCTTCATTTGTTCATCCTGTTCAGAAGGAAAATCACAAGGCAGGAAAGATAAGTGCTAATGTTAGAATAGTAAACACAAGGATGCTAAGTTTTTTATTGATACCACTTCAGAATTACATATGCACTTATAAAATGGTCTAACGTATGAGCCTATAATCACTTAAAATCATTTAGGGTCCCATCAGTCAAGCTCTCTATCGAAATTTAGTATTGGACTAATTATCTAATTGCATTCATGCTCATGATTGTACAGCTGAATGGGCTGTTAGTGATTGTGACATGAAGATCAAATAATTAGAAAGGAAAAAAAAATATAACTTCTTGCTTGAGGGAAGATGACTTACCGAACAATTTAGTTGCATAATTTCTAAACTATGCTTGGAACGTACTTCTTCCAGTGCCATCACTCCCCATATAACTCCTACCGAAATCTTCTCTACTGCCTGAAAAGCAGTAAACGGTCAAAGATATGCAAATAAGAAAAATATATTATTAACCACTTTATAGTTTTCCAGGCTTGACAAACTTACTCTAGGAACTTGAACCTCAGATTTCTAGCAAGACTGTGTCCCATCAAGGGGTACCATCAGCAGGTTCAAGCTATCACTGGCACCAATATGTGCTTACCAAGAATTCTGCTGCTAGGTAAGACTTGGCGAAACATTTGGTGATGAGACTTCGGTTTCTCACGAAACTATACTCAGATTAGGCAAATCCGAATCATCCAGCCAGTAGACTACACACATTTGGACCTTTTCGATTGGGCTACTATTGAATTAGTTTAACCTGTTTGGAAAAACAAAATCAATAGGCACAAAAGAAAAATGTTCATGTAGGACTAGTAATAGTAAACAAACGGAAGATAATTTTTTATTGATACAACTCAGGAATTATAACATGGTATACCACTTGTTAATACCCACCATTCTATTTTTAAACAGAAATATTATGACTAGAGGCGCCTAAAAAGAACAAAGGCATAACATATATATACACCTGCATTTATCATGTAACAACTCTCAAGCATCTTGCGTTTCTTCATCCCAGAGTGTGCTCTTGATTGCCTTCTCACGATGGGCAAATCTCGGGTTACTAAAAGTCCAAATCTTACAACTGCAATGCCCATATAAAATTTTCCCATGTTGAGAAGGAATAGAAAATGAATAATACAATAACAACGGAAAAAACATTAACAGGGTTCAGTTTGACCTTTAAAGCAGAGAAATGGTCCAGATCATTGTCAGTTTTGCAACCCTTTAGTGACTCTTGCCAAAAAAACGTCAAACTGGAATTCTTGCAATGAATGTGCACAATTGTTTTCGCATGGATAGGCTTTCACACGTCATGAACAAAGCAACAGCACTGGGACATAAGTTTTTGTTTTTTTTTATTTCACCTTTTTTTTGTATTTGTTTTCTTTTTTTTTTGGTTTTCTGTTTTTTTTTTTTGCTTTTTTGTTCTCTATTCTTTTTTTTTTGCTTTTCTGTTTTCTTTTTTTTGTTCTTTTCTTTTTTTTTAGGTTTTTGTATCCATTTTTTCGTCAAAAACAATTTCATCGGTACACCCTTCCCTCTCCTAATGCAATTTCGAACTCAAGATTTAACATTTCCTTTTCCTTTTCATTTAAAAGATTCAGGCTTCATTGGCATTCCATCCAGTAGAACACTTCTTATTTTGATCTCTCGTATTGGCCTTCATTTGTTCATCCTGTTCAGAAGGAAAATCACAAGGCAGGAAAGATAAGTGCTAATGTTAGAATAGTAAACACAAGGATGCTAAGTATTTTATTGATACCACTTCAGAATTACATATGCACTTATGAAATGATCTAACGTATGAGCCTATAATCACTTAAAATCATTTAGGGTTCCATCAGTCAAGCTCTCTATCGAAATTTAGTATTGGACTAATTATCTAATTGCATTCATGCTCATGATTGTACAGCTGAATGGGCTGTTATAGATTGTGACATGAAGATCAAATAATTAGAAAGGAAAAAAAAATATAACTTCTTGCTTGAGGGAAGATGACTTACCGAACAATTTAGTTGCATAATTTCTAAACTATGCTTGGAACGTACTTCTTCCAGTGCCATCACTCCCCATATAACTCCTACCGAAATCTTCTTTACTGCCTGAAAAGCAGTAAACGGTCAAAGATATGCAAATAAGAAAAATATATTATTAACCACTTTATAGTTTTCCAGGCTTGACAAACTTACTCAAGGAACTTGAACCTCAGATTTCTAGCAAGACTGTGTCCCATCAAGGGGTACCATCAGCAGGTTCAAGCTATCACTGGCACCAATATGTGCTTACCAAGAATTCTGCTGCTAGGTAAGACTTGGCGAAACATTTGGTGATGAGACTTCGGTTTCTCACGAAACTATACTCAGATTAGGCAAATCCGAATCATCCAGCCAGTAGACTACACACATTTGGACCTTTTCGATTGGGCTACTTTTGAATTAGTTTAACCTGTTTGGAAAAACAAAATCAATAGGCACAAAAGAAAAATGTTCATGTAGGACTAGTAATAGTAAACAAACGGAAGATAATTTTTTATTGATACAACTCAGGAATTATAACATGGTATACCACTTGTTAATACCCACCATTCTATTTTTAAACAGAAATATTATGACTAGAGGCGCCTAAAAAGAACAAAGGCATAACATATATATACACCTGCATTTATCATGTAACAACTCTCAAGCATCTTGCGTTTCTTCATCCCAGAGTGTGCTCTTGATTGCCTTCTCACGATGGGCAAATCTCGGGTTACTAAAAGTCCAAATCTTACAACTGCAATGCCCATATAAAATTTTCCCATGTTGAGAAGGAATAGAAAATGAATAATACAATAACAACGGAAAAAACATTAACAGGGTTCAGTTTGACCTTTAAAGCAGAGAAATGGTCCAGATCATTGTCAGTTTTGCAACCCTTTAGTGACTCTTGCCAAAAAAACGTCAAACTGGAATTCTTGCAATGAATGTGCACAATTGTTTTCGCATGGATAGGCTTTCACACGTCATGAACAAAGCAACAGCACTGGGACATAAGTTTTTGTTTTTTTTTATTTCACCTTTTTTTTGTATTTGTTTTCTTTTTTTTTTGGTTTTCTGTTTTTTTTTTTTGCTTTTTTGTTCTCTATTCTTTTTTTTTTGCTTTTCTGTTTTCTTTTTTTTGTTCTTTTCTTTTTTTTTAGGTTTTTGTATCCATTTTTTCGTCAAAAACAATTTCATCGGTACACCCTTCCCTCTCCTAATGCAATTTCGAACTCAAGATTTAACATTTCCTTTTCCTTTTCATTTAAAAGATTCAGGCTTCATTGGCATTCCATCCAGTAGAACACTTCTTATTTTGATCTCTCGTATTGGCCTTCATTTGTTCATCCTGTTCAGAAGGGTCACCACTCATCGGTTCGAGATATTTTATTATTGAGGGAGATTCAAAACCAACATAAATTCTCAACCTTCTTTGATGACCCATTTTTGTACGATGAGGTGGAGCAATTGGAACATAAACAGCACAACATGAATTCTCAACCTTCTTTAATGATTTTATGCATCATTACCTGGCCTGTGTGACCTAAACGGTCATGCCACAACATGATCATCTAACTTTGTGTTAGAAACCAAATTTATTTCAAATGGACTAATATATGTGAAATATAGTCCTGAGGAATATGCTGGCATTTTTCACAAATATATTTAGTGCCAGATTTAGTTGTCGTAAGACAAATATATTCCTTTTGGTTTTCATTCATGGTTTCTATGTGATAACCATTTTGACGCATATCTTTAAAGCTCAATAAATTTCTCCGCGATTTGCTGGAGTATAAAGCGCCATTTATAATTATTTTTGTCCCATTAGGGAGCATCACATATGCTTTCCTAGAGCCTTCAATGAGTTTCGCAGCACCTGATATTGTATTGACTTTAGCTTCAACTAAAGTCATTTGAGAAAAATATATTTTATTTCTCAAAATGGTGTGCGTTGTGGCGCTGTCTATCAGAAATAGCTCTTTATCATTTGAATGATCCATATCTTCAATATATATAAATAAACATAAGCTTGATCACAAATTATGCATATTATTGATCATAAGAGTGCATACATTACACACATTTATTTAAAAACAAAATAAAAGAAGAAAAAGTACATAAAATTTAACTAGTATTTTACAACAGAAGGATTCTACTATTTTATTTTGTAACATTTTGGTTTATGGCAAAAGCATCATCCATAATGGCATCATCAGCAAAAAAATCGGCTACGTCAAATTTTGGCATAGGTGGAGCTCTATCATTGACATAATTGGCTTCCACATTTTTGCCTTTATTTAGATTCATGGAAGCTTGAAATAACTCCACCAGGTGTTTAACCGTACAACATTTATTAGCCCAATGCCCCGTCATACCACACTTATAACAAGTCGTCTTTCCCGAGGATTTTGGAGGGCGGTTTATTTGATGAACTTTTTGTTTGCCCTTGCCCTTGTAATTTGGTTTCGACCTGTTTATATCCTCGGTGAGGCTTGTTATTATGACCACTAAAATGCCCACGTTTAAAATGCCTTCGAGGGCCACTGTGTGTTGCATTTGATTCAATGGCTAAATTAGGGCCAAATGGACCATAAATCGAAGGACTAGAACCGGTGGGTCTCAAGTTGTGGTTCTTCATTAAAAGGTCATTATTTTGCTCAGCTACAAGTAAAACTGATATTAAGTCAGAGTATTTTTTAAAACCGTTTTCTCTAGATTTCTGCTGTAGCAGCATATTAGTAATATGCATGATAGAAAAGATTTTCTCCAATATATCAACATCAGTAACTTTTGTCCACATAACTTTAATTTGGATGTTATTTGGAACATAGCATAATTATAGTCACTGATTGATTTAAAATCTTGGAATCTGAAATTGATCCAGTCGTACTGAGCTTTAGGCAAAAGTACCTTTTGTTGATTGTCAAACCTCTCCTCTAAATTGTCTCATAATTCTTTTGGGTCATCAACCAAAGATATTCAGATTTGAGACTTTCATGAAGATGGTGACGGAGAAAAATTATAGTTTTCGCTTTATCCTGGGAAGATGATTGATTAATAGCCTCAATAGTGTCTCCGAGACTATTAGCCTTCAAATGTGCTAAAGCATCAACTTTCCATTCCAAATATTTTTGACCGGACAAATCAAGAACGTCGAATTCTCTTTTGCTAATATTTGTCATACTACAAAATTATTATTTTAAACTTAATTAGAAATGTGGAGTAAACTAACAAGAACTCTTATTTTGGGACTTTCATATTATTTTACTCCTATTTAGGGCAATAACTTTAGAAATATTGGTATTTACATTTTAGAATTATTAAGTAATAACACTAATATGTAAATATTATTAAATAACCTGTTTTATCATTATATGTGTAATATAGTTGGCACAAATAAAATTCATTGATTTGTTCAAATTATTACTACGTACAACGGTTCAACTTATTACATTCCTTATTGCCATTATTAGTATTATTAATTAACTAATTTTAAGACAAATTAAAATTAAAGGCTTGTGAGGAGAAAAGTTATCTACTGCTCCGTATCACATCTATCATTATTTTAAAATAGTCTTCAGTCCCAAGTCCTAACAATCAACTGACATCTCATTTTGTTGGGCATGAATGAGATGCAAAAGCAGCTTGAATCGGATATGTAGACGCTGGATACTTATCAGATCCTCAAAAGGCGAAATCACAAACCGGGTACGTATTTACTTATGGTAACACCGCAATCTCATGGAGATCTATGAAGCAGACATTGACAGCTATATCATCAAATCATTCAGAGTTAATTGCATTATATGAAACCGGAAGAGAATGTGTGTGGCTGCGGTCTATGATTCAACACATCCAAAATGAATGCGGTATGAAACCTATTACTTGTCACCCTACTGTGATCAACGAAGACAACACTGAGTGCATAGCTCAGATTAAAGAAGGCTACATCAAAGGAGACACAACAAAATACATATCACCAAAGTTCTTTTCTACTCATGATCTGGAGAAAAAAGGGACGATCAACATTCAACAAATCAGATCTAGTGAAAATCCGGCTGAT